GCGCGGTAACTAGCGTCAAGCGAGCGGAGGTGAGCGATCAAGTCAGCAGAGCGCTCAAACGAGGCAAGATCAGGAAACAGGAACGGGAGGAAAAGACGGCCGAGAGAGACAGTAGCGGGAGTAGAGTAGCGGGCCTTAATCGCAGTGAGGTACGCAGCAGCGGTGCGAACCTGAGTAAAGTGGACCTCCTCGGACTCAGGGAGGAGGCTGCTGAGTGCGATGCAGGCCGCAGCGTCACGCGACGTCCAAGCCGTCCGGTCAGCGCGCTGACGGGCAAAGCGAGCCGTAGCAGCATCGTCAGGAGCAGGGCCTAAAGCTGTAGGCTCGGGGGGCTCGGGGAGGTCACCAGTAGCGTGTGACCAGAGGGTCTCGCCCCCCTGGACCTGACTCTCTAACAGACGACGAGCGCGAAGAAGCCAGACGGAAAAGTCAAGGGGTCTACCGTCGGCGTCGAAACGAAGAACTCGCGGAGTCGCCATAGTGAGAACGAACAGGCGAGTAACAACCGGGGGGGGAAGAGGACTCAGTCGCAGCGGAAGAGTGGGCTAGGACGACGGGCCAAGACGTAGGGTAGGGCAACGGGCCAGGGCCTAGGGTAGGGCGACGGGCCAGGGCCTAGGAAGGGCGACAGGCCAGGGCCTAGGGAGGGCGACGCGACGGGGGAAAGGTCAGGGCGACGCGACGGGGCAGGGCGACGCGACGGGACAGGGCGACGCGACGGGGCAGGGCGGCGCGACGGAGCAGGGCGACGGGACAGGGCAGGGCGACGCGACGGGGTAGGGCGACGCGACGGGACAGGGCGACGGGACAGGGCAGGGCGACGCGACGGGACAGGGCAGGGCGACGCGACAGGACAGGGCGACGCGACGGGACAGGGCGACGGGACAGGGCGACGGGACAGGGCGACGCGACGGGACAGGGCGACGGGACGGGGGGGGGTAACAGGCAGGCGCGACGCGACGGGGGGGAACGGGCGCGACGCGACGGGGGGGAACGGGCGCGACGCGACAGGGGGAACGGGCGCGACGCGACGGGGGGAACGGGCGCGACGCGACGGGGGGAACGGGCGCGACGTGACAGGGGGGAACGGGCGTGACGCGACGGGGGGGGAACAGGCGTGACGCGACGGGGGAGATGACGCTAGGCTCGGTACTAGGCGCGGTAACTACGAAACTGGTACGAACGAGAGGTAGGATCAGGCTCGGGAGGTACGAACGGAGAACGGAGGAACGGGATCCCACAGGATCCTAACCTAGCTGATACCATGTCAGAATGAGGAATGAGTGTTGCATTGATGTTGGTTGGGGTACATATGACAAACCCTAACTTCTGTACCCCCTAAGACAAACCTCACTACAGGCTACAACATTTGACAATGTGTTATTGTTGTGTAGGCTATAGTGGGTTAGCCTTTAGGGGGTACACAAAGCTAGGGGGGGAGGCGCTCGAGAGCGCTCTGACGCTTCTTCGTAACAGTCGGCTGAGCTATATTGTAAGAAACACTTGATCAGGGTTCTGAAAATTGTTATACTGTGGCCTAAGGGTTAATTTTTCGAAACTATGGAAAACCCTGATGGAAAATATTTTTCTAGAGGGGTCAAACTGATAATCAGGGTTTTGCAAAGGTGCAGGACTGATGATAAGGGTTGCTTAAAACAAAAAATTAGCCCTGTAGTTGACCTGCCAACTCATGTCATGAAAAAGGCCGGGGTGGGCTGACAAGGCATGGGTGGGATGAAAAGGCATGGGTGGAATGAAAAGGCATGGGTGGAATGTAAAGGCATGGGTGGGATGAATAATGCAAAAAGAGCAGAGATTAGCAAACTTATCAGTGGGAGTTGGAGGCACTGAGGAAAGGCTGTTGTTGATGTTGAAGCGACAAAAGGAGGAGTGAAAGGGTGGAAAACAGGAGTGAAAGGGCGGAAAACAGGAGTGAAAGGGCGGAAAACAGGAGTGAAAGGGCGGAAAACAGGAGTGCAAGGGCGGAAAACAGGAGTGCAAGGGCGGAAAACAGGAGCGCAAGGGCGAAAAAACAGGAGTGCGGCAAGGGCGGAAAACAGGAGTGCAAGGGCGGAAAACAGGAGTGCAAGGGTGGAAAACAGGAGTGCAAGGGCGGAAAACAGGAGTGCAAGGGTGGAAAACAGGAGTGCAAGGGTGGAAAACAGGAGTGCAACAGCGGAAAACAGGAGAGGAAGGGGGGGAAGCAGGAGTGTACAGGTGGAAAGCAGGAGTGCAAGGGTAGGTATGAGAGCAGTGGGGTGTGTGAGGGGGGCAGTGGTGGGTATGAGAGGAGTTGGCGGTATGAGAGGGGTGCGGGGAATGAGGGGAGTGGGGAAGTATGGGAAGAGTGGAGGGTATGAGAGAAATCGTGAGTGCTTAGGGAGTGAGGGGTATGGGAGTAGGGGATAGAAGAGGTGTGAGGGGTATGGGAGTAGGGGATAGAAGAGGCGTGGGGGGTATGGGAGTAGGGGACAGAAGAGGCGTGAGGGGTATGGGAGTAGGGGATAGAAGAGGAGCGAGGGGTATGAGAGGAGTGGGGCCTATAACAGGGGTGAGGGATAAGAGTGGGGGAGGTATGACAAGAGTGGGGTTTTGGAGAGCAGTGGGGGGATATTTCAGAATGCATATCTCAGAAGCCGTCTCTCATATTCAATCTCTCATAAGGCATTCATCAGAGTGAATATCTCTGCTGTAGCCAGGAGTGCAAGGGGAAATCCGTTTTGAGATGGTCTTGAAAAAACTTATTTCAAAAGTGAGAGGGAAGTTGGGAGGCATGGAAACTGAGAGGACTGTTGGGCAGGCAGGTGTGCAAGGGAAAGAGCTCGCCCCGGCCAAGCTGCTCTCACCCGCCCGCGCTGCTCTCGCCCACCCAGCCTGCCAGGCGAGTGCAGCAAGGGAGCGAGCATGAGCGCCCCTCATCGCCGCACTGCCACACAGTTGGCATACACACGTCGTGGCTCACGTGGCATCACATAGATGGGCATATTGCACTGCACGGGTACATACATGGTACATCCTCGTGAGCCTTGCCCCCGCCCCTTCTGCAAACCCCTTCCAGCCTCCCCCGAACCCCCCTAGTTCCCCCAACCCCCCTCCTTCCCCCATATCCCCTGAAGTCCCTTCACTCGCTTCCCCACACAATCCCCCTCCGCCTCCCCTCGTCCCCATACTCCTTTCCTTGGTCCCCAACAAGGACGTCTCGCCGCTTTACCTCGATGCCGCATGCATGAATGAACTCAAGGCCGACCAAGCACTCATCTCGCACGTGCGTACAATTCTCCCGGCTTTTGAGGCGCCTCGAGAGCATGCAAACGCACGCGCGCCCAGGCATGTGATCCTCGCGCGCCCAGGCATGCGATCCTTGCACTTCAGAACCCAAGTGTTGGGCATTGGGCATGACAGCAGGGACGCCGATGGGATGGGAGGAGATGCGGTAAGTGAGCGGGGACCACGTGATTGGCAGAGGCCGAGAGGGGTTGGGACCGTTTGAGAGAGGGTTGGCACGAGAATCGGACAGGACAGCAAATGCTTGGAACGGCGGTCGGTGAAAACGAGGGACGCAAACGGTTGTGTGCGCTCGTCTCACGTGCGTCGCGATGTTGACTCTGATCTCCCTCGGTTCTATGTGAAAGTCACCTCACACACCATCGCACAGCTTAGACGGTACAAACTACTGCTCGCACCTCACGCGCGCATGCAGGCTGGGGAAGGGCAACGAAGCACATCGGCTTCTAAGGCGCCTGGCGCACGTGTCGGATCCAACGGCCAGTAAAACGCTATGGGGCCATTAGTTTTTGAGTTGCGAGTTTTTTTTATGTAGGCTCGTATTCCGGATCCGCTGCCATAAAACCACTGTGTCGCGGGTACCGTAGGGAACGAGGATATGAGATTTGGACGGACAGAGCCGGACGGAGGGAGGTGGATTCCCGTCTCGCCTTGCACTGCAGCCGAGAAGCCGAGTCGCGTCTGGGTTCCCCTTCGGACAGTGCATTGGATAGCGGTCCTGCTGGTCATTTCGATCACAGTCTGCGACGCACCCTCTGCGATATACCCTCTGCGATGTTGCCCTCTGCGATGTTACCCTCTGCGATATACCCTCTGCGACGCCCTCTGCGATATACCCTCTGCGACGCTACCATCTGCGACGCTACCTTCTGCGACGCTACCCTCTGCGACGGTAACCTCTGCGATGCGGGCCTGGGACAGAGCGACGGAGTTGCTAACGGCGCTGGCAGCGTCCACTGCGACTTGCATTGGGAGGAAAACTGTATGCTCTTATATCTACTTCGTCGCCGCGTCTGCGACAGTACCAGCGACAAGCGATCGCCATGTTGTTATCCGTCGAGTCTAGCGCAACGGCGAAAGTTTGGAGTGGCGGCAGGCACAGTAAGATGACACCAATATGGTGGTGTAGTGCTTGCCTCGCTCTACATAGAAACGCGAAATTCGCATCACGAAGTATCGAACTCGCGTCTCATAGATGGGCCAAATGACCCTGTGTGCAGAAAGCAAGCTACCAAACCCAGCCAGAACAGTATGACACGTGGCAATGTAAGCCCATGGGACATTACAGCACGTGTTGAACCATTGGGAACATAAACTCCACCTCAACTTAATTTTAATATACTTACCTGGGCGGAGTCTATCGGTGATCACGAAGGCCGATGGCTTAGGGGAGGGCTCGCCATTGCACTTCGGCCGGCCCTACTCCTAGCACGCCGGAACTCCCGGTGATGCACGTCATTATTTGTGGCAGCGGGGGCTCGCGTTCGCGCGGCCCCTACCAATATAATATTGAAACAGGATTGAGACGTGAATGTGAAGTGTTAATTTCCGGATGCATCCATCAAAAAATAACAAGCAAATTGCGTTTCGTCATGTGGTTCGAAAGTTCACATCATGTGATAACTCGATGTCACTGTTGTAACGAAGCACCATCATTTGGGGTCAGGTTACGGCCAATAAGCCCACAATGTTGACCACACAATGAGACTCACACCCTACAGGTGACAGGCATTGCAGGCCTTGCGACAAGCCCCGGGTGACCCTGGCGTACCAACCATGTACCCCTTGTACTGCTCCGATGTGCAGTGGCCCTCCTTGGCCCACGCCTCACAGCTGCACATTGGGGGGGAGGGGGTGGAGCAGGGTGTGTGGTAAAATACGTCAATGTCCGAACAGGGAAGAGAGGGCGAGGAGGCACTATGAGGTTCAGTCATCTGTCAGGGCAGGCGAAAGCAGGAGGCAAGCAGGTGAGGCCGCAGCACATAGAGACGCACTCTATGCTCACCATGGAGGTTACTGTATCCCACCCTGCCAGGCCCCGATGACTCACGTAGCCCTCACACACATTGACGCCCCGCACACCATCGAGTGCGCATGCTTGTGCTGGCAGGCAGGCAAGGTGGCAGCACCCAGCAGCACCACCACGTTGCCCATCTGCATCCATTCTAACGCCCCTCCATCCCTCACATTCGCTACCCACACAACCAACCATCACTCACTAGATGCAGCATCAACCAGCGGCACGGGAACGTCGGCCATGCGGATCCACTTGGGTGTGCTGACCACTTGGTGCCCTCCACACAGGGCAGGCGTGGTGTAAAGAGTGACAGCAGCACGCGGTGGCACGGGGAAAACTGAAACCCACACAACCAATCCGCACTCACTAAGCGTTGCTGTCCTGACAGGCGGCGGTGACAGCATCACCCAGCGGCACGGTGACATCGCCCATGCGGATCCACTTGGGTGCTGACCACTTGATGCCCTCCACTACCGGGCATGCATGGTGCAGCGAGGAGGGGTCAGGGGAACCGTCTGGATGCATGTTGAAGAAAAGCAGGGCGTCGCCCTTGATGGGCTTCACTGGTGGCATGGGGAAGGGGAGGGGTGGAGAAGGGTGGAGAGGGGTGGGGAAGGGCAGGTGAAGAGGAGTAGGTTGGAACGAGTTGATGCCCTCCACCACGGGGCACGCGTGGTGTAAGGAGGCGGGGCAGGGGAGCCGTGTGGATGCATGTTGAAGAAGAGTAGTGCGTCGCCCTTGATGGGCTTCACTGCTGGGGGAGGGGCGCAGCAGTGGGGGGGATGGGGAAGGAGGCGTGGGGATGGAGGGAGGGTTTTGCAGGCAGGGAATGATAGGGAGGGATAGGCAGGGGGGGGATGCGCATCCTGGGCACACGTGGTGCAAGGAGGTGGCGTCAAGGGAGCCGTGTGGATGGGCTTCACTGGTGTGGGGGGGGGGAGGATGGCGAAAGGCGGGGAGGGGTGGGGAGGGGCATGGGGAGAGGAGTAGGTTGGAAGCACATGGTGCCCTGCCCTGCCCTCCACTACAGAGCAAGGTGACTTTTGAGTCGACTCAAAAGTCACCACATGGTGCCCTGCCCTGCCCTCCACTACAGAGCAAGGTGACTTTTGAGTCGACTCAAAAGTCACCACATGGTGCCCTGCCCTGCCCTCCACTACAGAGCAAGGTGACTTTTGAGTCGACTCAAAAGTCACCACATGGTGCCCTGCCCTGCCCTCCACTACAGAGCACGCATGGAGTAAATAGGCGGGGCAGGGGAGCCGTGCGGATGCATGTTGAAGAAACGCAGTGCGTCACCCTTGATGGGCTTCACTGGTGGGAGAGGGGCGGGACGGGTGGGGAGGGAGGGGTGGGGGAGGGGGTGGTGTAGGGAGAGAGGGGAGGGGACGCATGGGTTGAAAGAGAGTGGCAAGGGGGGAGGGATGGGGAAGGAGAGAGGGCAGAGAAGTGGGAAGGGAGAGGCAGCGGAGGAGGGGTGGGGAGGTGGGGCAGGATTGGAGGCGCAGGGAGGGAGGATTGGGTGTTCGTCCCTTCTCTTCACCCCTTCCCTCTCCCTCACCAGCTTCCACTCCCTCGTCCTCTGCACTCTGTTCTCACCCTCTCGCGAGTCCAACCACGTGTCGTCCTTGGGTGAGGGGAAGGCTGCCTCGGCCCCCTTGTAGTCACGTTGCTGACCATATGAGCACGGCTGACCACATGAGCACCGGGAATACCCTTGCCGCGGCTGCCCGTCAACCCCACCAACGCACCAGCACCATCACCCCCAGCACTGACCAGCGAGGGCGCCCTTGGCGCAGTCGGACCATGAGTCATCTTTCGGCGTGTCGTCTTTCACCGTGGGGAAGACGGTCTCTCCGCCCTTGGTGACGTTGCTGAGGTACATGAGCAGCGTGGCGTAGCGGTGCCCGCCCAGCTGCGTGTTGACGGGGTCCGAGAAATAGTCGAGGTGGGCGTCGTACTTCTGCCCGATGGCGTACCGCAGGACCTGAGTGCGGTGGAGTGCGGTGGAATGGGGTGGAGGGGGGTGGAGTGCGGTACAGGTTGGGCTTCTGGTGCACAGTCATACTCCAGCACAGCACCTGTAGCTGCATGTTGACGGGGTGGGAGAAATAGTCCACATGGCCGTCGTACTTCTGCCCGATGGCATACCACAGCACCTGAGGGGAAAGGAGTGCGGTGCAGTGGGGTGCGGTGGGGTGCGTTGAAGTGGGGTGGAGGGGGATGGAGTGTGGTACAGGTTGGACTTCTGGTAAACAACCGCACACTGCAACAAGTGCAGCCGCGTGTTGACGGGGTCGAAGAGATAGTCCAGGTGTGGGTCGTACTTCTGCCCGACGCCATACCGCAGGACCTAACGAGCACGGAGAAGGGTTGAGGAGGAGTGGAGTGGATGGGTGGAGTGGGGTGGAGTGTGGTAAATGCCGCATTTTCAGCGCACAGGGGCACTGCAGCACGAGCAGGTGTGTGTGGACGGGGTGGGGGGTGGCGATGGCAGGCAAGGCATGGTATGCGATGGAGGAGGTGGCAAAGAGAGGAGTGAAGAGGGAGTGAGTAGTCCAAGTGCGGATGCGGATTGTGCTTCTCCCCTGTGCCGTAATGCACGACCTGAGGGGCACAGAAAAGGGCTCGCACGGAGTGGAGTGGAGGAAAAGGGCTGAGGAGGAGTGGAGTGGAGTGGAGTGGAGTGGAGTGGAGATGGACTGACGAGTGGAGCGGAGAGTGGGATGGGATGGGATGGTAGAGGTAACAAGGAGAGGGGAGCCACGAGGGATCAGTGTAAGCGCAGGTGAGACTTGAGGCGCACAGCCGTGCTGCAGCAGGTGGGAGCTGGGGGGCAGGACTCTGCTTGTATCACTTGTGAGACTTCTCAACAGTGGTACAAACGAGGGGCAGCCAAGCCCACAGTGGTGGGCATGCCAAGTCACAGCACCTGGCGGTGGCATGCCAAGATCAATCCGCATATGCCCCAAGCACGCACGGTACCTGCAGAGCCTCCTGATTGGCCACGGTACCTGCAGAGCCTCCTGATTGGCCACGGGAAGGAATGTCCACTCGCTGACGCGCTGCTCTATGGCTCGGATGACGTCATCCTCGCCTTTAGTGAGGAACATGCCTGTGGACGTGCGCACCTCGCTCACCACGCTCTTCCCGCTGCTGCCGTCCGCCACTGCCGACCTGGTGGGGGGAGGGGAGGGAGGGGGAATGGGGAAGGCGGAAGCGGGAAAGGGGAAGGGGACCAGAGAAAGGGGAAGCAAGAACGGGGAAGCGGGAAAGGGGAAGCGGGAAATGGGAGGTGGGAAGGGGAAGCGGGAAAGGTGAAGCGGGAAATGGGAAGCGGGAAAGGCGGAAACGGATAGGGGGTACCTGGCGAGTCTAGCGGTGGCGATGTTGACGATGTGGTCGCACTCCTCGTCCGACAGGAAGCTCTTATACAGAAACGCGCGCGGCTCCTTATCGGATAGTCGCACCACCATGCTGAGATCGATCCCCGCCGATTCCTGTGCGCGAGGAGGAGGAGAGAGGGAGGAGGAGAGGGAGGGGGGAGGAGGAGGAGAGGGAGGGGGGAGGAGGAGGAGTTTGCCTGAAACAGCACGGCAGGATCGGTTGTTGTAAGACGGGTTGCATCCGGACATGTTGGCAGGGAGATGGACGGAGAGCAATGCGAATGAGTCGATTACTACCGAGAGCGCGGGGCGACGGGTGTTTCTGGCACTTACGACGTCCTTGGCGGGTCCAACCTTCAATCCTGCGGTGAGCACGTCGGCTGGGCTGACCGACAGATCGAACGCCGAGGCGCGCGCAACGAGGGACAGAAGCAGCAGAGTCGCAACAATCGAGTGCGCAGCCATGTCAATAGCGAGTCACGTGTACGATGGTCAACTATTCTATATCATGAGACTATGAACGGGTTACAGAAGGTGATTCTGAACAAGTCTGGCAATGGTGGAGCACATCAAAAGAGAATGCTGAATGTCAAGAATGGGTGCTGCTGCTGATTCTGTTGCTTGTGTCTTACTCGCGCTGTGCTGCCTGTTCTTCCCTACTACTCGATGATCACACTTGTAAAATATATCCCCTGTCATCCCACTAAACCGTATCTCGCCCCGATCCAGCCCACTTCACATCAAGATCATCAAGGGCAACGCTGAAATATCCAGATTCACGAAGCGAAGCTCGCACAACATTTTGTCGAAGCAAAACGAATTAGAATGCCGCGGTAACTCGTCGTTGAAGATCCTTGCCAGCTTGGAAGGTGGCATAGCCAGCACAGCAATGGAGGCGGGAATCTTGAGACAATGGGGGTACATGAAACAATCCCTATAAAGTGCTTTTATGATGTTGAACAAGGTGCAGGAATAGTAAAGCAGGCAGTGCACTTGCAATGGACAAAATGAATATTTGAAGAACAGAAATCTCGTTAAGGCACTGGCCAGTTTCATATAAATCGAGAAGAATTAGTTTCTAAGTAAAAATACACTGATGCTAATCTAAATTCCTTTCACAACGGAATAAAAAGAAACTATGCAGCTGTCAGTTTTAATATTGGACATGAGTGGAAATAAGGTAACTAGCTGAACCAGGAGCAAAAATATGCTTCTCGTTCAAATAGTTATCAAACTCCGTTGAAACGGTTACAGCTTCCTACAATGTGTTGCTCGATTCACGAAGTTCTCCGCGGTTCGTCGAGTAGCCAGCGTCAGGCCCTTGGCAGCCAATCCCACGCCACCGCGCCCACCAATGCCTCCATCCATCCCAAATTCATTCTGTGCCCAGCCACTAGCCGGAGCGCACAACCCCTCCCCATTCTTGTTGGCGGGAAACGCGGCGTGCTGCTCGTGACTGTTGCTGATCTCCTTGAGCTTCTCGTAAACTGCCCTCACAAACAGTTCGACCTCACCAAGCACCGTTGCCGTGTCTCCCTGCAAACATGAGCAGATTTGGAGCGTTGGGAAAAGCATTGAGCAGTGCGTCTGCTAGCAAGGACCTACTTCAATTGCTGATACTATCATTCCACTTTTTTGTTACCTTCGTTAGTGCGGGTGCGACGAGTTGTCGTAGCAGCGAAATGCGATCCTTGGTCGTCTCCATCCGTAGCTGTTCAGAACGATATAAGCCAGAGTACACACGAAAGCCGTTAACTTAGTATTTGAGATCGACGCTCACCAGGCCTAGCGCAAGATGAGGAATCAGGGATGGTAAACGGTGTACAGTCGAATGGTAACATGTTAGATGACGAAGCCGCGTTTTGTCCGTCCACCATGATGCGGCGTACCATGATGGGGAGCGTTTGCAGCTTGCCCGAGTGCAGGTGGTGCAGCCAATCAGGCCCCTCAAATGGGGTAGCGGCAGCAGCGGGTATCGCGCTGACTGCTCCTGCAGAGCGTTCCTCTTGCGCAACCGCGGCTCTATGGGCACCTGGGGAAGCGCTACTCCCCCGAGCCTGAGGGAATGCGGTAGGGGGGGTAACGGAAGAGCGTGAAACGTAGAAACTACTAGTCGAGAAAAAACGCGACTCGCAACAAAGTCAACCGCGTTGGTACTCAGATAGCAAGTTACTCTGAGACGTACCTCCCAAGAACCAGAATGTCCGCGCCTTCGCTTCGGTGCGCTTCGCCCACTCCGTGCGCTCATGTCATCGAGCAGAATTGTTGGCGGCGACTGTAGGCCAGGGGACGTCGCCATCCGAACGCCAGGCGAGGACGTCGGGCCTGTAGGCGACGCGAACCCGTCGCCAGGCGACACCATCTGCACGCCAGGCGACAACACTTGAGCGCGAGGTGACCCCACTGTTACTTCCTCGCGCCGTTTCGACTTGCTTCGCCATCCCTCCGACGCAGGCTGCTCCGAGCCAAGCAGGTCGTGCGGGCGAGCTTCCGTCAGCGACAGCTTGAGCGGCTGGAGGCTCCGTTCGCAGTGTCGAGGCGGGACTCGGCGCGCCTTACCGTCGCTGCCGATTTCGGATCGATAGTTCGACGGTGGTGAGTCGTCGACAGGAGTCGAGAATAAGGGAGATGGCGCAGGATAGACTTGGTGTTGTGAAAACGGGCTTTGCAGCTGAGGCGTGATTTGCAGTTGGTGGGCCGTGATCCCATCGCTGGAGGCTGGACCGGCCATGGCATCGCCAACGTGTGTCGCTGTGGTAGTTGCTGCGGAGTGGGTCTCCCCGTGGTGCCGCGGGATGGGTATAACGAGCTTGAGCGGAGATGAGGCGGATGGTGTCACCTGCCAGTTGCGATGGTGACACTGCGCAGTGTCATTCCCGAGCCGCGGGTGCTGGTTCTCGTTATCGTCGTGGAAGTTGTGATCATGATGATAGAGTTGCGTCTGTTCTGGATGCGTATCAACATGCTGGTACGACAGCTGCTGGTTTCGCGTCTCGTCACATTGTTGCTGCTGCTGCTGCTGCTCGTCCTGCCCGCCCTGCCCGCCCATGGCGCAATCCACAGTCTTCATCGCGTGTTTCGTGTCCGACATCAGCATCGCCACCACTCGCCGCCACTCCAACCCCCCTCCGCCCTCACAGCTCCCTTCTTCCGCCATCTCCTCGTCTCCGCCCATCGCGCCTAGGTCCGCCGTCAGCTCCGCCGCCTCCGCCACACCAGCGTCTTGCTGCGCGTGAGGAGGGTTGCTGATCCGACCTTCCAACGAGTGCGGCTTGCCGTCCAGAGAGAGTGGGCTGGGCGGCGTGGAATACGAGAAGTGCGCTCCCGACGGAGAGACTCGCGCTTGGGCCATTGGCGCGGATGCAGCGCCGGCGAAGCTGCGAGAGTGATCGCCAAGCCCGTAGAACGCTGCTGCTGCTGCTGCTGCTGCCGCTGTCCCTGCTGGCTGGAGCCATGATGGTGCAGAGCCCCACGCGTTTGCGTCCTGCGCTGAAACCACGCCTGTATCGAGTGATCCAGTATCGCAGATATCGATAACGAGTGAGCTCTGGTTTGCCTGTTGATTACAACCACCCATTGCTGCGTCGTGGAACGCTGTGACCGTAGCGAGGGTTTCCGCGCTGTGCGCGCGGGTGTGAAGGTGCCTGTGGGCCGTTATAGCGTCGAGGGGGGAGACGCATGCCCCAGCCGCGCACGAGCCCATCAGTGGACTTCCGTGCGATCGCGGTGAGTTTTGAGACGTATTGAATGCGACTGTCCGCTACAGCAACCACGAGTAGTAGACTACGTTACGTCAGACTGTCAGCGGCTTTGAAATTAGCCTAAGCCTAGTAAGACCTTCTACTCAGACGTTCGCGACAGCCGACTTCGTTCGTCGAGCAGCTCTTGGAAGTTTGTGATTATTAAAGGCCACCACTACTCCAAACTCTCCTCATTCGGTTCAGAGTCCAATCCTTGCTGCGACCGCATTGCACTATGAAAGACCAATGAGCTAAGCAGGATCTGCGACGATTATGGGAAATTGAGGCAAGCTGCAAGGAGGTTCTGGACCAGTGCTTGGGAGGGTGTTGTGTGTCAGGTGGTTGCGTGACTGCCACTGCGATAAAAAAAAGAACAAAAAAAAAGTGAAGCGAAAGTTCTATCCGCTGCTTTCGCAATTGATGGCCCAGCCGTCGTGTTGTTATGGACTCGGTGAAACCAGAGCTGGGAAACTCTTTCACGTAAGGAAGAGAAGCGGTGTTGCGAAGGCGGTTGCGGACGAAATTTGATGTGACGAAACGCGGTATCCATCGGTAGCGGCGCACTTGAGTAAAAGGGGACGACGTAAGCCCAACACAAAAGCAACGAGCACCGTCCAAGCCGTACGGTGATGGACAAAACGCCGAAACCTTACTCGCGCAACCGACAAGCCACCCCTAGCAATCGAGTCTCCCCAGACAACACAGAACGACAAATGCTTTACATTTGTTGCGTGTGCATATTAGCTCTCTAACAAAAACTGAATCTAAAATTATAATTAAAAAAACACACTACAACATCAACATCAACAACGACAACGACAACGAACGATGACGACGGAGGTGGCGGTGGCAATGACAAATACGACGACGACGATCATGTCTGAATAGCGGAACGAAATGGACTGGCAAGAATGGGGTACAAATAACAAACCCTAGCAAGTTGTACTCCGTATGGCATACTTCTCAAAGTAGGAATGCAACGGAATGATGAGATTAGGAATGTGGGTGATAAAAATAGCATACCCTAACTGAGTTGTACTAACTAAAGAGCACCTCACTACAGCCTATCACAAATTTCAACATTTGAGACACCCCCATAGGCTAAGTGAGGGGCATCAAAGCGAGCAGGGTTAACAAGCGGTCACAGGACCAGTCAATACAAGAAGCAAAACAAGCTCAGGGTGGATCTCAAGGACACCACACAAATTCCGAGCACAAGCAAGCGGTCACAAGGCCAGTTCAAGAGTTCACTAGGATATACTGTCAGAATGAGGAATGGATGTTGCATTGATGTTGGTTGGGGTACATATAACAAACCCTAACTTCTGTACCCCCTAAGACAAACCTCACTACAGGCTACAACATTTGACATGACACTGGCCACCCCCATACCTGCCACCCCACAGCGGCGGCCCCCGAAGGAGCCGCGACGGGCGACGGGAAATGGGGGGGAGGGGAGAAAGGGGGGGGGGGGGGGGGAGGGACGGGGCCGGGGCCGCGACGAGGGGCGGGGCCGCGACGGTCGGGGCGGGGCCGCGACATAGGGCGGGGCCGCGACGTAGGGCGGGGCCGCGAAGGTAGGGCGGGGCCGAGCCGGGCAGGCGCACGGGCGGCGACGGGCCGGGGCGGGGCCGCGACGAAGGGCGGGGCCGAGCCGGGCAGGCGCACGGGCGGCGACGGGCCGGGGCGGGGCCGCGACGTTGAGCGGGGCCGCGTCGAGGGGCGGGGCCGCGACGATCGGGGCGGGGCCGCGACGTAGGGGAGAAGCCCGCCGCGCGCCTCGGGGCGCACAGCGGGCAATGAACCGCCGCGAGCCTCGGGGCGCACGGCGGGCAGAAAACCGCCGCGCGCCTCGGGGCGCACGGCGGGAAGAAAACCGCCGCGCGCCTCGGGGCGCACGGCGGGAAGGAAAACCGCCGCGCGCCTCGGGGCGCACGGCGAAAGGGAAAGGTAGCAGCGGAAGCGAGGTGGTAACCCTCCCACAGGATCGATCCAAGGGGATCGACCTGCTCTCATAGCATGACAGAATTAGGAGAAAGAAAGAGGAATGAACTAGCAGAAATGGGGATACAAATAGCAAACCCTAGAAGGGTTGTACTCGCTATAGAGCACCCCACTACAGGCTAGAACATAAGAAAAATATTCTGACATGACACACCCCCATAGCCTAAGTGAGGGGTGTCTAGCAAAAACAAAAAAAAGAGTACGGTCACAAGACCAGTCCAAAAGAAAACAAAGCTCAGGGTGGATCACAACGTCACCACACACTCTGAGCACAAGCAACAGTGGCCACAAGGCCAGTCCAAGAGATCACGAGTATATATAGTAAGTGTACAGACGAAGCAAGCAATAAACTCAAGTCTACGCATGACTAGAACCTGTGTCAACAAGGCCTAACTGCACACAACACCTCTGGTGGTCACAAGGCGGAAGCGCCTTGGTGAAGATGTCTGCAGTGTTGGCCTCGGACTCTACAAACTCGAAGCGAGCCTGTCCACGCCTCTGCAACTCTCGCAGAAGAAAGTACCTGACGTGAATGTGCTTCACTCTGCTCTCCAGTCGCGGCTCACGACAGAGGAGGATCGACGCCTTGTTGTCAGTAAACAAGGTCGGTGCAGAGCTCGGCCGCTCACCAAGGTCGGCGAGCAAGAAGGTCAACCACCGCAACTCCTGTGCCGCCATGGCACCAGCGTAAATCTCAGCCTCAGCTGTAGAGGTCGAGACAGAAGAGGAGCGCGTGGAACGCCAGGAAACAGCTCCAGAACCCAGACTGAAACAGTACCCCTGAGTAGACCTGTGAGTCTCAGCGTCGTCAGCGTAAGAGGAGTCACAGTGACCAGTGAGTACGACAGACTGCTGCCCTCCAAGAACTAGCCCCACGCCTGATGTAGTCGCTAGGTACTTCGCCACCCTCACAGCTGCCGTCCAGTGAACAGGACGGTGTCTCCCTGGCGCAACAAAGCGCGCAAGGATGCTGAGAGGGAAGGCGAGGTCCGGGCGAGTACAAGTCATCAGGTACATGAGGCAACCCACAAGCTCTGCGTAGGGACCACTAGGCTCAAACGGCTCGTCAGGAAAGGGACCAGTGAGTCTGTGGTCAACAGCTAGAGGTGTGCGCTGTACGGTGGAGTGCTGAAGCCCGAACCGCTGAAGGACCTGCTGCACCATGTGTGACTGTGAGAGTGTAATGGTGTGAGCGGCTCTGTCCCTGGTGATCTGCAGGCCAAGGTAGTGGCGCAGCTCACCAAGATCAGTGCACGTGTGTCTCTTCTGCAGTTCGGACTTCACGTCTGCCAAAGCAACCCTGTCCGAAGTGGCGAAAACTAGGTCGTCGACGTAGACCAGAACAAAGAACGGTGTGGAGCCACGACGAACGAACAGCGACGGGTCGGCAAAAGACGGCTGGAACCCAAGGTCAGAGAGGGTAGAACGCAGAGTGTCGTGCCACTCACGAGGGGCCTGGCGAAGACCGTAAACAGGTCGCCTCAGCCTCCACTGGGTCCCAGGAGGGAAAGTGCCAGTGAAGGCCGAGGGACGACGCAACCAGACCTCCTCGTGTAGACTGCCCTGAAGGAAAGCAGTGGAGAAGTCAAGAGAGTGTAACTCGTAGTCTCTCTGTGCTGCTACGTGTAGTAACACCCGAAGAGTGGTCATCTTCGGGGTAGGTGCGAAGGTCTGAAAGAAGTCAACTCCCTCGCGCTGACTGAAACCTCTAGCCACGTAGCGCGCCTTGAAGACCGGGGGAGATCCCGGTGGCCGATTCACCCTGTAGATCCACATGCCGTCGACTACGTTCGCCCCAGGGGGGGGAACCTCATCGACGTAGGTGCCTGTGGATCTGTAGGAGGCCATCTCTGCGTCCATGGCAGCTCTCCACTGAGAGGCCCAAGGCCCTGACACTGCCTCAGCGTAAGTGCGAGGAGTCGGAATGTCAAGGGCGTCGGGGTCACCCTCAGGGGCGAGGAGCATGGCACAGAGATGAGGGGAAGCGGCCGCCAGGAACTCTAGCTCAAACTGCCTGTCCTCTAGGGCGTCACAGCCAAGGGCAGACACACCCCCGACGACCAGAGGACTGGTAGGAGGAGCAGTCACAAGCGTGGTGGCGTAGTCAAGGCGGCGGGTAGAGGCAAAGTCAGTAACCGCGGCAGTAAGAGCGGACACAGAGGACACAGAGACACGAGGGTGAGTAACAAGAGAGGCGAGAACACGAGAGAGAACAGGACGGTACATGCGGTAGTAGTCAGTGACAGGAGTAGGGAGCGACACAGTGAGGGCCGACTCAGGAGGAGACGGAAGCACAGACTGAGACGGACGAGGTGGACTAGAAAGAAGGAAGGCAGTACGAAGGTCAGTGAAGGGAACAGGAGACGAGGGACGAGCACGAGGGGAGCGACGAGTAGCCCAAGAACGAGACGGAGGAGAAGAGGACAAGGGCGGAGAACTGGGGAAAACAGCGGGGGAGGAGTCAGGAGGAGGAAACGTGGGACCGTAGACAGGAGGAGAGGCGGAGGAGGGAGGAGAAGGGGAGGGGAGACCAAGGATCCGAAGACCCGAGACAGGAGGAGGAAGTGGCTGCTGCTGCTGCGGCTGCGACTGCTGCTGCTGCGGACGC